CGCGGCGGTCTGGGCGTCCCTCAGCCCCTCTGTTGAGATCAGGAGCCCGGCCGTCGTGCAGACGAAGACAAGGGAAATCGGGAGGCATTGGGAGGGCGGGGTCACTCACGCTTGTAATTCCAGCACTTTGGGAGGCTGAGACGGGTGGATTATGAGGTCAGGCATTCGAGACCAGCCTGGCCAACATGGTGAAACCCTGTCTCTACTAAAAAAACAAACAAACAAATTAGCTGGGTGTGGTGATGTGCACCTGTAATCTCAGCTACTCAGGAGGCTGAGGCAGGAGAATCACTTGAACCCGGGAGGCAGAGGTTGCAGTGAGCCAGGATCACGCCACTGTACTCCAGCCTGGGGGACAGAGGGAAACTCTGTCTCAAAAAAAAAGAAAAAAAATACAGGATACAGGTTTTAAGTGTTGTTCAATCAGCCTGGAATAAACCCTTTCAAAACTGACCAGGGTTAGGGTGATCAGCCCGCCTCAGTCTCCCAAAGTCCTGGGATTACGGGCATGAGCCACCACGCCTGGTCTTATTTTTAAAATGAGTACAAACAGGGTCTCACTATGTTGACCAGGCTGGTCTTGAATTCCTGGATTCAGGCAATCCTCCCGCCTCAGCCTCCCAAAGTGCTGGGATTATAGACATGAGCCACCCTGCTCAGCCAAGAAAGGAGGCTTTACAGTAATCTCAGCAACCCAGGCCCTGTGCTAAAGTGGCAGCACGTGGGTGACAAGACTAGATATATTCAGGCTGGGCGCAGTGGCTAACACCTGTAATGCCAGCACTTTGAGAGGCTGAGGCTGGTGGATCACCTGAGGTCAGGAGTTCGAGACCAGCCTAGACAACATAGTGAAACCCACTCTCCATTAAAAATACAAAATTAGTCGGGCCTGGTTGCAGGTGCCTGTAATCTCGGTTACTCAGGAGGCTGAGGCAGGAGAATTGCTTGAACCCAGGAGGCGGAGGTTGCAGTGAGCCCAAGATCATGCCACTGCACTCTAGCAGGGAGTGGGGGAAGGGAGCCAGTGGAGAGGTAAGGAGAGGAGAGGGCAGGGGAGGGGAGGGGAGAGGAGGATGAGAAGCCAATGCCAGCCATGGTGGTCCAGACACTAGCTGACAAGACAGCCAGCCCTACTCCCACCCCAGGAACCTTATCTGGCGCTTCATTTCCCAAATACCAATCCCAATCATCTCTGCCTGGCATTCTGGACCCATTTTTGCACGGCTTCTTAGTATTTAAGGTGTAAATATCACTTCATTCACTAAATTTTAAGCTCTTTGAGAGCATGGATAGTGCCTTACTACTTTTTAATTTTCCCAGATTATCAGAAGGATTGTTGACAGGTACATTTGTGCCCTAACGATGACACCAAAATTCCTCCTCGGGAGGAAACTGTCTTTGTTTAGGAAAATCACTGGTAAATGTTTTAAGAAAAGATGAGACACAGAGCCCAGGCCAGCATGCATCAAAGCAGTAAGAGAATGAGCCCAAATGCTCTGCAGTTTATTTATTTATTTTTATTTTATTTTATTTTTCGAGATGGAGTCTCACTTTGTCACCCAGGCTGGAGTGCAGTGGTGTGATCTTGGCTCACTGCAACCTCTGCCTCCTGGGTTCAAGTGATTCTCCTGCCTCAGCCTCCCAAGTAGCTGGAGTAGCTGGGACTATAGGCGCCCACCACCACACCCAGCTAATTTTTGCATTTTTAGTAGAGACAGGGTTTCACCATGTTGGTTAGGCTGGTCTCAAACTCCTGACCTCAAATGATCCACCTGCCTCAGCCTCCCAAAGTACTGGGATTATAGGCACGAGCCACCACTCCTGGCCTATTTATTTATTTATTTTTATTCAGGGGCCATGCTAATCTTCTCTGTATTGTTCCAATTTTAGTATATGTGCTGCCGAAGCTAGCACTATTTATTTATTTTTTGAGACGGCGTCTCACTCTGTTGCCCAGGCTGGAGTACAGTGGCACAATCTCGTCTCACTGAAACCTCCGCCTCCCTGGTTCCAGCGATTCTCCTGCCTCAGCCTCCCAGGTAGCTGAGATTACAGGCACTCGCTACCACACCTGGCTAATTTTTGTATTTTTAGTAGAGACAGGTTTCACCATGTTGGCCAGGCTGGTCTTGAACTCCTGACCTTAGATGGCCTCCCAAAGTGCTGGGATCACAGGCAAGAGCCACCATGTCTGGCCATAAATGGTTGCCAGGGGCTAGGGTGTGGGAAGAAGAATGAGGAGTGACTGCTTTTTTTTTTTTTTAATTGTCTCTGTGTTGCTCAGGCAGGAGTACAGTGGTGCAATCTCAGCCCACCGCAACCTTTGCCTTCCTGATTCAAGCAGTCCTCCCACCTCAGTCTCCCAAGTAGCTGGGATCACAGGCATGTGCCACCATGCCCCACTAATTTTTGTGTTTTTAGTAGAGACAGGGTTTTGCTATGTTGGCCAGGCTGGTCTAAAACTCCTGACCTCAAGTGATCTGCCTGCCTCAGCCTCCCAAAGCACTGGGATTACAGGCATGAGCTCACCCAGCATGCATTTTAAAATGAACCAAAAATTTAAAATTGGAAGAGAAAGAGAGGAAAGAGCAGAGAGCAAGGCTGAGCCATGTATAAGGAAGTTGGAGCCTGAACTGTGGAAATGGCAGAGGACTTTGGGAGAAAAATCACTGACACTGAATCTCAAGCTGCTCATGTTTCTACAGTATAAATCCCTGCATCTTCCCAGCTGTTCTACAGAGATCTCCAAATATATAGAAATCTTGTATGAGTGGTTGGTTTAGTGACAAGTGGCAAGGGAATGTTTCACACCTCAGTCTGTGCTCTTAGATAAGGAACTAGACCCGTGGGATGGTGGGAGAGTCCCTCAAGTAAACCAGTTCATGGGAACCAGAAGCAACCGTGAGAACATAACATCCTGCAAAGAAGCCTTCTTTTTTTTCCTTTGAGACGAAGTCTCGCTCTGTAGCCCAGGCTGGAGTGCAGTGGCATGATCTTGGCTCACTGCAACCTCCGCCTCCCAGGTTCAAGTGATTCTCCTGCCTCGGCCTCTCAAGTACCTGGAATTACAGCTGCATACCACTATGCCCGGCTAATTTTTGTATTTTTTTTTTTTTAGTAGAGACAGGGTTTGCCCAATGCAATGGGGCGATCTTGGCTCACAGCAACCTCCGCCTCCCAGGTTCAAGCAATTCTCCTACCTCAGCCTCCTGAGTAGCTGGGATTACAGGTACCTGCCACCATGCCCAGCTGATTTTTGTATTTTTAGTAGAGATGGGGTTTTGCCATGTTGGTCAGGCTGGTTTCAAACTGCTGACCTCTGGTGATCCACCCGCCTCGGCAACCCAAAATGCTGGGATCACAGGCATGAGCCACCACACCCAGCCCCGGAAGTCTTTCTTATTTTTTATTCATTTTTATTTTTTTGAGACAGAGTCTCACTCTGTCACCCAGGCTGGAGTGCAGTGTCACGAGCTCAGCTCACTGCAACCTCTGCCTCCCAGGTTCAACCAATTCTCTTGCTCAACCTCCTGTGTAGCGGGGATTACAGGTGCGCACCACGATGACCAGCTAATTTTTGAATTTTTAGTAGAAATAGGTTTCACCACGTTGGCCAGGCTGGTCTTGAACTCCTGACCTCAGGTGTTCTACCCACATTTGCCTCCAAAACTGCTGGGATTACAGGCATGAGCCACTGTGCTCGGCCTCAAATAAGTCTTTTGAAGGGAGTTTAAGTAGCATTGTCTAGATCTGTAAGGGCCAAAGAATCCCCCTGCTGAACCTAAACCACATTTACACAGCTGCCTCTGGGGTCCTCTAAACTGAGTTGGTTCAACCTGGTAGCTGATGGGAGGAGGTAGCTGGGTTCCTCCCAGGCCAATAGAACATGGGCTCATCTACAGAGGGAGACACATTGGTTGAAACAGGATGGAGATATTTGGGAAGCAGTAAAACATCGTGCAGATGAGCACTCTGTGTCAGTGACAGGTCAGGACCTTGTACGGTGACAGACATGCGTCCTGAAAGTTACAGCTATTTTTGGCTCACCCTTCTCTGCTTTAGAAATACTTTTTTTTCTGGCCAGGTGCAGTGATTCGCGCCTGTAATCCCAGTACTTTGGGAGGCCAAGGCCTCAGGGCAGATCACCTGAGGTCGGGAATTCAAGACCAGCCTGACCAACATGGAGATACCCCATCTGTACTAAAAATATAAAATTAGCCGGGCAGGGTGACACATGCCTGTAATCCCAGCTACTCAGGAGGCTGAGGCAGGAGAATCGCTTGAACCTGGGAGGCAGAGGTTGCGGTGAGCCAAGATTGCGTCATTGTGCTCCAGCCCGGGCAACAAGAGGGAAACTCCATCTCAAAAAAAAAAGGAAAAGAAAGAAAAAGAAACACTTTTTTCTTAGAGGCTGAGGCAAGAAGATTGCTTAAGGCCAGGAGTTGGAGGCCACAGTGAGCTATGACAGCTCCAATACACTCCAGCCCGGGCAACAGAGCAAGACCCTGTCTTTAAAAAAAAAAAAAAAAAAGGGCCGGGCATGGTGGCTCACGCCTGTAATTCCAGCACTTTGGGAGGCCGAGGCAGGTGGATCACGAGGTCAAGAGATCAAGACCATCCTGGTCAACATGGTGAAACCCCGTCTCTACTAAAATTACAAAAAATTAGCTGGGCATGGTGACGCATGCCTGTAGTCCCAGCTACTCGGGAGGCTGAGGCAGGAGAATTGCCTGAACCCAGGAGGCGGAGGTTGTGGTGAGCCGAGATCGCGC